GGCCCGGGCCTCCCACGTCCCCAGCGGCGCTAATCCATCGCCGAGAGCCGCGTGCCAGACCAGAGCAAGCGATGGCCGAGCAGCCGCGCTGGCGCCGACTCCGCGGCCGCCGCTGCCCCCTCGTGGCGGGTGTGGAAACACTGGCGGCCTTTAGGTGGACCGCGCTTGCGGGTGCGTTTGGTTTTTTGTTTTCTTTTTCAGAAGTGAATCCTCTGACATTGTTTCGGTGTTTCCAGTCCAAAGACACACATCTTAGAAAGTGAGTGTTTGCATCCACGATGACCGTTCCCTCTCTGACGGTTCGGAGTGAATGCTCCTAAAATGACTTTAACCCCACGTGTGTGATAAAAAGCTTGCACAATGAGGATTAGCTTTTGCTGTGATAAGGATGTCCTTGCCAAGGGTGTGTTCACTGCAGGTACTGCTCTTTTCTTTCCTGTACTCTCTGATCTTGTTGGCAAGGAGATGAGACGGGGAGGTCCTTGTTTGTCAAGAGGCCAGGGTGGTGTAGCGGGAGAGGAGCTGAAAAAGTTTCCAGTAAGTGTATGCAGAAAGCTAGCACTCGTGAGAGCTCGGCTTCAGAGCCAGGCTGCAGGTGCCAGGCTGAATTCTGACATTGAGTAGCTGTATGACCTTGAGCGAGTCGCTGGCATTGCATTTAACTCCTAGGGTTGTGTGGATTCCGTGATAACGTCATCCTTATCTTACAGGTGAAGGAAATGACGTATGCGGAAAGCACTGTTCAGTTGTTGCTGCTGCTGTTGTTGTTGTCTGGGGAGGCACAAATCTCTGACCTCTTTCCTAAAGAGAATAAGAATCCTAACATTGCAGTTACAGGTGTGGTACACAATAGGGAAGGTCCCTATGTTCACACCTTTACATTTCCTCCTAGGTCATTAACCATTCCTCTCCTCAATTAAAGCTCATTTCCTGAGATTTTTATCAAATCCAGTCTCCTATAGTTGCCTTGTTTCATATCTTTTCCTTCAGTATATAACTTGCCCAAGGCTTATTTTCTCATACTCTCCTTAACTGAGTCTAGCCTATTCCTTTGAAGAAAACCCTAATTGGAGCTCTTTAGTCACATGTCATTAATTTCAGCCTGTCCTCTAACCCTTTCTATGACAGTCTGGGAATCCGATCAGAAGAATATTCCACTATTCTAAGCACTGTGGTAATCTAAGCTTCTTGTTGTAAGCCCCTAACCCAGTACACCAGACTCACACTGTGCCTCCTCATGCAAAACCATAACTCAATCTAATTCTGAAGTGCAGCTTTTTCTGGATATGATGATTCTCATAGAGAGCAATCATTGGGATTCTCCTTCACCACTTGGCATGATCAGAAACATGAAGCCAACACTAAACTGCTTATATGATGTAGTAACTCAAAAGATGTTCGTCTAGTCTACAATGTGTCAGACAAAACACAGTAGATTCACTCTACTGCTCTTTTAGATTCGAGAGTTAGTTACATAGTTTCAGGCTTATCTCAGGTCTAACAATTCCAGGAGTTTACATAAAGCTCTTACAGAAGACTTGAACAACTGTGGAAGCAATAACTAAGGACCTCCATGGTGTTGAGTCTATTGATAGTCCAAGTGCACACACATCTGTAAGAGCTCAGCTTGACAGAGCAGCCTTAAGGACTTTATGCTTTTCAGACATAAGGGTTTGGGAGAGAGGTTAACAAACTGTCATGATGCTTGCTTGGTTCTGTGGTCAGAATGGCAGGAAACACTCTACCCCAGAGGGTCATGGATATAGCAGGAATGTGCTTAAGCATTAATAACTTACAATCATTCACCCAGGGGAGTGAATATAGCAATGCATTTACAAGAGATATGTCTAGAAGATTGTTTCTTAAACTGTGGGTTACAACCCCATATAGAGGCCACATAACTGAACGTGAGGGTCATGACAAACTTGGCAACAGTAAAAATTTCCCGAACAGGCAGCAAACAGAAATAACTAATTCACAATCAAGTACATAACGGGTCTGAAGTGCTTCTAGCAGCACTCAGCCGCGTTGCATGTTCAACTTCACGGCAGGCATGGTTCTGCAGACACCGTAAGTGCACTTTGCAGGGCGCCCGCCATCAGACATGCAAGCCAAAGAATGCTACGCCATGGGCCCCAGCTGTGATTTAAGACCACTGTATTAAAGCGGTGGTGTTTTTTAGTGTGCATATGAAGTTCTTTGCTCTTATAGGACCATGATAGAAAGGAGAATAGCTTCACGCTGTCCTTTCTCACCGCGCATGTGTCAAATCCTCTTTAGTCTGTGTTCGCGTGTTTGATTTTACAACTGCTGTTCAAGTTGCTGACTTAAGTTTACAAAAATTTGTGAAGTGAATTTTGGCTTGGGGTTAGGATAGAATTGTTAGCAATTTATGAGATGACCTTAAATATACTTCTGCCATTTTTTCTGTACTATATATTTATGGGAAATGATGTTCTCAAGCATTGATGATTATAAAAACAAATGTCAATCAACTCTGAAAGACATTGAAGATGCTGTGCCTTCCAGTACCAAACTTTCATTCAAGATGTACTGCTTCTTTAAAAACAGAAAAGCGCACTTATCTCGATAGTATGCAATTTTTGTCTTTATTTCATAGTGAAATTATATGCATAGAAAATAATTGTCTGAAATAATTGATTTATTATCAGTAAACGTTTGATTTTTTATAATGATTATATATAGCTATGTATCTAAGGTTATATAATTTTTTCTTGAATAAAAAAGTCATAAATGGAAAAAAGTTGAGAAGACTTACTCTAGAACAGTGGTTATCAACCTTCCTAGACCCTTTAATACAATTCCTCATGTTGTGCTGACCCCAACCATAAAATTATTTTGTTACTACTTCATAACTGTAATTTTGCTACTGTTATGAAGTATAATGTAAATCTAATATTCAGGATATGGACCCACAGGTTAAGAACTGCTGCTCTAAAAAATAGAACATAATGCTTAATTCAGTTCATGTAGTCACTGTAGCGATCAACAGTTTCTATTTTGTTACATTTTTAGATTTAAAATTCTTTAAGGGACACCCGATGGTCCTAAACATCTATATTTTCTCACTTTCTACGGTGGCTGGAGAGACCCAAAGTTCCTAGCTCTTGGCTACCTCTTCCACTGGGTGGCCACACTCTCTACTCTTCTTGGGACTAACCTTGGCTTTGCCTTTGCTGTTCACTTGCTTGGACCCCACCTACCCTAGAGGCCCACCAGGCTGCACCTTTTCCTCAGAATCAGCCTGGTTCCACCAAGCCTTTTTAAAAATCTATTCATTCATTCATTCATTCATTCATTCATTCATTCATTTATTTATTTATTTGCTGCTTTGAAGACCCAAGAAGCGAGATACAGAGTGGAGGGAAAAAGCCTTGGTTGGGCTAAGTCATTGAAAGAGCAGGGTTCTTTGTCGACACAGCTGGCATTAATTATCTCACTAACGCAGTCTCCCTCCCTCCATCCCACCATCCAGAGCCTGATCTCATTTTTCCTGTAGCACTCACTACCCAACATAAGCACATCTCTGTATATTATCTCCCCCTATTACAAGGTAAACCACGTCAGGCGGTGGTGTTTTTCTGGACATAATTATTGCGGGCATAAGCAATGACCAAAACAGAGTTGGCAACCAGCAAATGTGTGTTTGATGGCAGGATGAGAAAATGCCCACTTGTTTCCTCCCCGGATGATGTCAGCTCTGGGTCCTCCTGGTTTTGGCCGCTGCTGCATCCAGCTCAAACTTAATATTTCAAAGGGCAACTGAACAATGCGTCTCATCAAGTCGACAAACTTAATGCTGACTCATCCACCCAGAGCACCACTGCGAACTTTCTGAGACGACTGGAAATGCCATTGAGTTGGCTGAATGGGTCATTCTTTTTTATATAATACTGTATTTATACAAATACCTGAAACCATGCGTATAATATGTCAAGCGTTACACAAATGATTTTCTAAGCGCTTCCACCAGCATCGTGTTAGTCCCTGCCTCTTTCCCAGCGGCTTCTCCGGCACAGAACCCACATTGCTCTCAACTCCAGACAGGGTGTTTGGCTAAGGCATGCGGTTGGTGAGTGGCCCATAAGCTACTCAGCTGTCTTGAGAACTTCCATCCCCTGAGTCACTGGCCCGTGCTTTGCCGGTTCCTCAAAATCACTGTTGTTATTAAAAGGGCTGGCCACCTACTGGAAACTGTGTCTGAGGTCTGCTAGAAGCCTTGGATTCAGGAGCAGAGCGGGGTGGAGGAAGGCCACTGACTCTGTCCCTGGGCCTACTTGGTGACACTTGGATCTAGAACCTTACTGGGACATTTTTTTTTATCATCTTTCTTCACTATGATATATACCCTGCGTACTAAATTAAATACTCATCAAATGGGTAAATAAATAGACAGAGTTTTCCAACCCCTACTCCTCAAAAATAGGAGTTTTATAAAAATCCACTTCAGAGCCAGGTGTGGTCATACCTGTCTTTAATCCCAGCACTCAGGAGGCAGAGGCAACCAGATCTCTGTGAATTCCAGGCAGGCCTGGTCTACATAGCAAGTTCCAGGACAGCCAGGACTACACACAGAGAGCCTGTCTCAAACACAAAATGAATCCACCTCAGGGGCTGGAGAGGTGCCTTGGGGGTTAATAGTACTGGCTATCCTTCCAGAGGACCTAGGTTCAAATCCCAGCACCCATACGACAGCGCATTACTGTCTGTAACTTCAGTTCTATGGGATCTGATGGTTTCTTCTGGCCTCTGTGGTTACCATGCATACAAGTG